TGATCCTTTTGAGCTTTAGCCTCCCAAGTCGCTAGGACTACAGGCACATGCCAACACACCTGGCTAATTATTTTTATTTTTTTGTAGAGACAAGCTCTCACTGTGTTGCTAAGGCTGGTCTTGAATGCCTGGGCTCAAGCAGTCCTTCCATCTCTGTCTCCCAGAATGTTGGGAATACAGACAAGAGCCACCATGTCTGCCCTATATCTTTCTTCATTTCTAACATATGCATTTAAAGCAAATTTACATTCCTCTTAAATTGAAAGCAAATGAATATTTTAAAAAATTCTATTTGTGAAAAAGTCATTACTTTGCCTTTATTTTTTGATAAAAAAGTATTCTTACTGTGTATATAATTTTAGATTGATAGTTCATTTCCTTCAATACTTTTAGTGTCAGTTCTTTGTCTTCTGGTTTGTAGTATTTTGTTGAGAAGTCTATGATAATTCTTATATTCTTTCCTCAGTAGAATATTTTCTATCTCTCTGTGATTTTAAGATTGTTCTCATTATCACTGATTTTCAGCAATTTGGTTTTAATTTGGCTTAATGTATGGTTTGATTTGGATTTATCCTTCCTAAAATTGCTAAAAGTTTTCAACAAATTTGGAAAAATTTTGCTCATCATTTCTTTTGCCTTTTTCTTTTTCCTCTTCTTCTGGGACTCCAAGTATACTTATGTAACTACACTTATTAGTTCCCATATCGCTATTCATTTATACTATCTTTTTGATTCACTTTTAGTTTCTTTTGCCATGTTTTTAAAGTTCACTGTGTTTTTATTTAGCAGTGTCTCTGCTGTAAAGCACAATTTAGTGGTATTTTTCTTTCATGTGTTTATTTTTTTTATCTCTAGAAATTCTGTTTTGTTCTTCTTCATATCTTTCATTTCCCTTCTCATTATGTTCGTATTTATTTTCAAATCCTTAAGTATCTTTGCAGTAGTTCCTTAAAGACTTTTCTGCTGATTCTAACATCTCTATTAATTCTGAATTGGTTTATATTGCCAGTTTTCTTTTGCTTGTAGATCATATATTTTCCTCTTTTTTTTACATGTGATAATTTTATATTGGATGCTAGACATTATGAATTTTATGTTGCTTGTTGATATTTTTGCATACATTTAAACAGTTGGGTTTTTTTGATGTAGGCAATTGCCCGAGGACCCATGTGATCCTCTCAAGACTTGTTTTTCTTCTTTTTAAAGTTGATTCTAATGTATCCTTTACTCTAGGAAAAATTGAGATCCTCAACTAAGGTTATTTCCTCTTGGGTCTATACTGAATGTGTCATACTATTGAACAAGATCTTTTCACTTTGGCTTATGAAATTTTGAGCAACTCACAGATCTGACCATTTTTCAGCCAGCTGTTTTGTGGTAATTTTTTTTTCATGATCATAGCTCTTTGCTGGCCTTGTGGAATTTCTCAGTACACGTATGCAGATTGGCATTCAGCTAAGGACTTATGAAGACTCCTCTGTGAATTTCTGGAGACTATTTTCTGAATAGTTTCCATATTCTGTTCTGCAAATTCCAGCCACCACAGCCTTTCTAAAGTCCAATCTCTCTCATTAACTCAGCAAAAATGTTGAGCTCTCTTTGGGTTCTTTCTCCCTGCATAGTCATCCAGAAATTCCTTTTAGGTATGAAGCAAGAACAATGGCAAAACTCACCTATTTTTTTACCCTTCTTTCAGGAACCAAAGTCTTGTCTTTTACCCAATGTCTGAAAAAAGTTTTTTCATATATATTGGCCAATTTTCTAATTGATTATGGCAGTAGGGAAAGCCCTGTTACTTTTTTTTATGGAAGAGAGCATGGTCATGCTTATTTTTGTCTTTTGAACTTTCATGGACAGAGAAAAGTGAGTGAAACTCTTCTACTATTATTGTATTTTTCTTTTTTGCTTCTCACAATTTGTGATGTAGAAATGCTTGTCATTTGTTGCACCAGTGCTCCTGTTTAATATTTATTATAACTTGTACCAATTTGCTTTACAATGTGCCCTTCTTGTTTCATTATTTTTGGCCTCAATTTCTGCTTAACTAGTGTTAAAATCATGTATCATGCTTTCAGTTTGTATTTTCCTTGACCGTCCTGTATTTTTCAAACTTTATGAATTACTTTTTTTTTTTTTTTTAGGTGTGTTGCTTATATATAGATAGAATTGGGTATTATTTTGAAATTCAATCTGAAACTTATTTTTTTAAATAAAAAGTTTTCTTTTGGGATAGCTCATATGACTTTGCATTTCTTGTTTTAATATCTTTTCTAATCTTTAATGATGTCATTGGTTTTCCTTGTTTTTTGTGTATATTCTGATATTCAGGAAGGTTTGAATTTCATATTGTAAGTCTGTATAAACAGTGCTCTATTTCTTTAGACATATCCATTTGTTTCCTCATCTAAGTAATAATAAACTATCATATTTCTCTTCCTTCCTTCTCCCTTTTCCTTCAGTATCCTGTGATCTTGAACATGGCATATCTTCATTCTGTTAAGTATACTTAGGATTTTATTTCTTGATTTGTAAGCTTTGACTTGCAATTGTTATAGGTGAGACCATCTGCAAACTTACTCTGCCTCTCATCTACCTCACCTGTATCTTCACATATAATTATGACTATTTTAACACCACATTTGTTTTTTTGGTCTTAATTCTACAGTTAAATATATAAAATCACAAGTCTTTTTACTCTGGCTTGTCCAGTTATTTCTTTGCCATCTGGCTATAATAGGGTTTTATTGCGATATTTTCTTGTATTTTTATCTGATAAGTTTTCCTACTTTTTTCCCACCCATTTGCTTTTAAATCATTTAAAAACATAATTTAGCCGGGCACAGTGGCTTATGCCTGTAATCCCAGCACTTTGGGAGGCGGAGGTAAGAGGATTGATTGCCTAAGCCCAAGGGTTCGAGACCATTCTGGGCAATTTGGTGAGACCTTGTCTCTACAATAAATAAATAAAAAATTAGCCAGGCATGGTGACACATGCCTGTGGTTCCAGCTACTTGGAAGGCTAAATTGGAAGGATCGCCTGAGCCCAGCAGGTCAAGGCTGCAGTGGCCGTGGGAGTCCCACCGCACACCAGCCTTGGCGGCAGAGTGAGACTGACTAAAAACAAATAAATAAAGCATAATTTATACATAAAATATACATTTATAGTATAGCAAATAATAAGCATGCAAGCCATGAAATAGAACTTTCTTCCATTGTTCTTATAGTCTTTTTTTATGGGTGCTATGTTCTCTTTTATATTGTTCATCATGCAACTACAGTTGACCCTTGAACATTGCAAGGGTTGGGGCGCCAATCGCTGTGCAGTCAAAAATCTGGGTATAACTTCTGACTTTCCAAAAACTTAACTACTAACAGCCTTAACTACTTCCTATTGTTGCCTGGAAGTCTCACTGATACATAAACAGTTGATTGACACATATTTTATATGTCATATGTGTTATATACTGTTTTTTAACAAAAAAGTAAACTAGAGAAAAGAACATGTTCTTTAAAAATCGTAAGATTGAGAAAGATTTACTACTCATCACGTGGAAGTGATCATTATAAGGGTCTCAGTCTTCTCTGTCTTCATGTTGAGTAGGCTGAGGAAGAGGAGGGGGAGGGGTTGATCTTGCTGTCTCAGGGATGGTAGAAGAGGAAAACCCACATATAAGTAGACCCACATGGGTCGAGCCTGTATTGTTCAAAGGTCAACTATAGTTAGATTTTTCTGCCCCGGCTGTTTGAAGTGTATTTTTGCTGATGTCTTCTGAGACCTGCTGCTCTGAGCTAGCTTGTTATTTATTTTACATGAGAGAGCTTTCACTTACCAAGCACAGCCTCTGTGCCCACCTTAGCTGCTTGGATGCTCTCATGAGCTTTCTGAGTCTGTGGATTTGTTTTGTCTTTTTGTTTCCAGAACACAGATTTTGTGGAGGTTTTCTCTGTTTATATTGTTGACTTTGTATGATATCTAGAAGGAAAGGAATTTCTTTCACACTACTGGAAGTTTTCCTTCTGTCCCAACATAGCTTGCAAATTCCTAACATTGCCTTCCTATGTAGTAGTTTCTTCCCTAGAAAGAGGGGAATTGACTAGAAAGTCAATTATAATATCATTCTCATCTATACTATTATCCTACTCCCAATAAAACTATCCAAGTTTAGGTCAATGCCCGGTTCAGAACCATGATTATCATTCTCCCAGCTGATCTAACCCAATTCACATATTTATCTGTAGTTATCTTCAGTCAGATACCCTAAATATTCCATTGCATATAGTTTTAGGAAAGGGTATAAGCCTCGAGTATTTTAATGGGTTCTCACCCAGTATACTATCTGAATAGGCATTAGGGTCAGGAATTTGCACTCCAAAATTTCCCTATCCAAAATTTCCCTATCAGCCAGGACCAGAGACCATCAACATGTATTTGAAATTTAAGTGTAAAGAAGATCTGAAGAAATCATCCTAATCTTGAAATAGTATTGATCCTTAATATAGGATGAAATTCTAAGTTTTACAGCAGACTTAGCAATAGTTGAGGAGAATAATGGAATTATATAATAGTTTCAAATGATCTGTTGGGGTTATTATTTTAGTAATATTAGAAAGGGAATAGTGTGAAAAATGTGAACAAAATTCTTAAAATGCCAGCCTTGTTACTTAGCTTTGCTCATTGGACTGTTTGGACTTTCAATGTACAGATTCTGACTGGTGGTTTAGATGCATATGAAACCTGGTTTAATAATCACCTTCATGTATTCCTTGTGATTTATTCATTTTTTAAAAATGTATCTTTGGATAGAGTAAGAGGTAGAAAAAAGTCACAACTGTGACCAGCAAAGAAAGCATTGTTGTCACTGACAGAAATTCAGAAATTTGACCAATAATTGATACATTTTTTTGGAGTCCAGTATGGGGTGTTTTTTTTTGTAAAAATAAACCCAAAGTCTAAGTTTCAGACTCTATAAAGGTTAAAAAATGACTTTTCTATTTTTTATATACTGTCTTACAACGTGGTTATACTACAGACTATTTGTTTCTTGGAATGTTATTTTTACGGTAAGATCATTTGTGTGCATTAAATCACTTATGCTAACTTTTAGTAGAAAAATTCAAGAATTATAATACAGTATCTCATGAATTTTTGGTCTCTCTCACACTTCAATACCTTTTCTAAGAAGAAATTATTGTAGTGATAGCTCCTATACATTTCTAAAAATGTGAAATGTAGAAATTATAGAAAAATACAAATGTATGTTACCTACTTCTCTACCCTCCCTTTTTTTTGTATAAGGGAATAGTCTGGTATATCTTGTTTTTTCATTACACAATGTGCCTTGATGATGGTTACAAATCAGCCCATAAATATCTACTTCATCTTCTTTCAGGACTGCTTGTGTGAATAACTTACCATTGTTTATTTAACAAGTCTCCTGGTTGTTTTTGGTTCTTCGCCATTATAAACAATGTGGCAAAGACTATTCTTTAAACTTAAGAGTAAGTATATCTGTAGGATAAATGTCTAGATGTATCATTGCTGGATCAGCGTCTATTGTGAATTTTGGAGGACATTACTAAGTAGTCCTTTAAAGAGGTTACCCAAATTTAGTGATGATAATGTCAGTTTCCCAAGTGCCCACAGGCAGTGTTCTTATCACAATTTTTGATCCATTAGGTGAAGTGACATCCTATTGCGCTTTTTGCTTTAGGGATAAGCATATTTGCGTAAGGTTCAAAATCATTATCTTTTCTCTTTCTGTGAACTGCTTCTCAATTTCCTTTACCAATTGTTCTATTGGGCGGTTGGGTTTTTTTCTTATTAATTAATAACCATTATTTGTATGTTAAGGATATTCTTTCATTTTTTCTTATGTGTTTTACAAAATATTTTCCCAGTTTTACATTTTCACTTCTCATGGCATTTTGTTCTGTCGATATATATTCTGTATTTGAATATTGTGTCATTAAATACAGTGAGATTTTTCTTCCTGGCATCTGCGTTTTGTGTCTGCAACTACTGTGGTAGCTTCTTATTCTTAATTCTAAGAATTGTGAATTCATATTCAGTTGTGTGTTTTCCCTTTTGTTTGCAAGTAGAAACATACTTCTCTGCATGCTTTTCTTTTTTCACTTAACAACGTATCGTAAACCATTTCTTCCCTTGTTCTTTTCTACATAAAAAAACAATTTATTGGCATATTGCCTTTTTTTTTTTTTACTTTAACTGGTTATCTTGATTATTTTATGTTATTTATTGTGCACTTAACTCTACATTATGTATCCTTGAACATCAAATGTGGTCAGGCAGTGTTATTTGATTGTTTATTTGGACATGTGCATAGAACATGTTTCCTTCTTTTTTAAACCTCTCCACCTTGTTAGGCCTTACACTTTTCCCAACCCCAGGAAAAAATATAATCAGATAGGATTCTGTTTGTTTATTTCATTTGTTTATTAATATTTGTTGAGACCTGCAATATGCAAAACACTGTTGCGTGTTGAACATACAGTGGTACATCTAACCAAGTACTCATAAAAATTACATCCTAGAGAGATCGCACTTGACTTTCTAGGTACAATCAAATCTTCTATGCTATTTATAAAGAATGTAAATGTAAGAGCTTATGACATAAGCATTGATTTTACCCATAGGTTAAAGAGTTTCTAAATATATGGAGAACTTTAAATATATACATACATTCAAGCAAGAGACACCTAGATAAGATGCCAGAGTAAACTGATCTCACTGAATCTCAATCTCCTAAGGCTTAAAAATATATAACCAGAATAGTAAAACCAACAACAAAAAAATTGTATCTCGATAATTTACCGTAGTAACTTTGAAAGGGAAGGGGACTAGACCAAGGCTGAAAACCTCAAAATGTGATGCCAGAGAAGAAATAAAGCCGGCCGGCCGGCTCAGCACAATGAGGTTACTAACCCACCTCTCCCAACATACTGGTCTCAATGTTAATGAGTTGGAGGAAAACGCTAAGCCCAAAAATGGTCCCCAGGGAAATGGAGTAAACCTCCAATAAGAGGATGTCAGCCCTGGTGTTTGCAGGGAAGTGAAAGAAGTCAGTGGAACTGGAGCGCAGTGCAAACTGTGCATTGGCAAGGGGGGCCCTGGGTAATGACAAAGATGAACTTGGAGGGGTAGGTAGGTCTGGTCTCTGGAAATCTTTAAGGTAAAAGGGTTTTGGAATAGCTTAGATGATGGCAAACGCTTGCTAGTTTGTTGATACTGGAACTACAGAAATGTATATAATCAAAGACTGTTTCAAAAGTATGATTTTCAACTTGTCTGTTGTTGCTCGAGAACCGACCTTGCAACAAAATCATACTTAATGAAACACTGAAAGCGTTCTCTTTGAGACTGGGAATAAGGCAAAGATGCATATTATTATCATCATCTCTCTTCAACACTGTAGTGGAGTTACTAATCAGAGCAATAAGACAAGAAGATACAATAAAAAGCACAGTTGTCCTTCAGTATCAGTAGGAGATTGTTCCAAGACCCCTGTGTATATCAGAATCCACTTATAATCTATGTATATCTTCTCATATACTTTAAATAATTTCTAGGATCCTGATAATACCTAATACAATGTACATGTCATGTAAATAGTTAAAAAATAATGACAAGGAAAAAGTTCACATATGTTCAGTACAAACACAACCATCCTTTTTTTCTTCCAAATATTTTTTATCTGTGGTTAGTTGAATACACAAATGTGGAACCCGCAGATATAGAGGACCACCTGCATATGTAGACTTTGAAAAAGCAAAAAGTCTGTTTTAAATCTCAGATGATGTGAGAATGTACATAGAAAATATTCTATAGATAAGATATTGTAATTAATAAAAAGAAGTTGGCAGTTTGCTGTATACTGATATTTAAAAATTAATTATATTTCAATATACCAGCAATAAATATTTAGAAGATTTAAATATTTATAAAATTTTTTAAAATATCATTTTACAGTAGTATCAAACATACAGAGAAAATGAATAAATCTAACAATAATGTTTTTAAGACTTCTTTGAGAAAATTTATAAAACTCTATTGGAGATATTAAGAAATCTAAATGGAGAAATATCCCATGTTCATTGACTGGAAGGCTAAATACTATAAGGAGATCAACTCTCTTCAAATGGATGTATAGATTTATTATAATCCCAATCAAAAGTCCCAGAGTCTTGTTGAGCTATTTCTAAAATATATACAGAAATGAAAAGGTCAAGAATAATGAAGACAATCTTTGATTTATAATGATTTCAATTTGTTCTGCCCAACTGTATTTTTAATCAATAGCATTTAGATTTCTAAATATAATCACATCTTCTACGCTATTTTTAGAGAATGTAAATATATAAGAGCTTATGGCATAAGCACTGATTTGAGTCATATGTCAAAAAATTTCTAAGTATGGCATATTTATTGAAAGCACTGCATCCTGCCCAGAACTAACACCTAGCAGAATGCTTAGCAACTTTGTGGTATCAGAATCCACCAGACAGAGAACTGAGGTGGAAGTTCAGGAAAGGAGAGATGTGATGTGGATTCTAATGACAGTTTCTAATATATTTTCCCATCTCACCTCATGCAGTATGTGGTTGTTACTGTTTGTCTGAAAGCTGGATTGGAGATAAAGTGAGTATTCTCAGGATTTCTCTACAATCGGTTATAGTTATTTATATGCTGATTTATTTTAAGTTTTAGAAACATAATAAGCATTTGTTCTGGTCTCTGTATTTCTTTTGTTTTGCAGATTCAAGTGATGATTTAAACTGGATAAAGGCATATTGGTCATTAACATCTTTAAACATTTCCTTTCTTGCCCTACATTTCAAATAGATTCAATTTAGCATGCCACTAATTGAGACTTTTCATTGACTATTACTATTCAAGTCCAGAATTATAGCAGAATTTTATCTGATACAGAAAAAGAAGGAAATACATATTGCCCATACCTTTCAATGTGAATGATATTGACATTTGGATTTTACTTTTAAGTCTTTGTTCTATATATACTTACTTTTTTTTCACAAAAATAAATTCATAATGTACCTAATATTTTGTAGCTTACTTTTTTCACATAACTGATCTTTGACAATTTTCCATATCTTTAATTTTCATATCTAATTTAATGACTATGTCATATTTTATCACATATTTATTATTTACATTTTTTTTGTGGGGTACAGTTAAGGGTTAGGTATACAAATGTGCATCGTTCAGGCACCCTTGTTAATAAGGGGTGTCTCCCCATCCCCAGACAGATATTGACTACCGTTAGTCCCATCTCCCTTCCCCTCCCTATAATTTCCCACCACTGTCAGTTCTTTTTTTACAGTATTATGGTAGATGTTCAAGGTCTACTATATGAGTGAGAACATGTGATACTCAGATCTTTGTTTCTGTGAGAGATCACTCAGTATTATAGATTCTAGTTCTATCTAGGTTGCTGCGAAATTCATGATTTTGTTCTTTTTTTATGGCTGCGTAGTATTCCACCATGTATATGTACCACATTTTTTAAATCCAGTCCTCTTTTGATGGACAGCATGGTTGGTTCCAGGTTCTTGCTACTGTGAACGATGCTGTGATAAACATTTGTGTGTAGGTATCTTTTTTATAGAGTGATTTGAGTTCTTCAGGGTATATTCCCAGTAGGGGGGATTGCAGGGTCATATGGCAGGTCGATATTTAGAGCTTTTAGGAATCGTTACACTGCTTTCCACAGAGGTTGCTCTAGTTTACACTCCCACCAACAGTGTAGTGGTGTTCCCTTTTCACCACATCCTTTCCAGCATCTGTCATTTTTTGAGTTGTTGATAATTGCCATTCTGACTGGAGTTAGGTGGTATCTCAGTGTAGTTTTAATTTGCATCTCTTTGATGATTAGTGAGGTTGAACATTTCTTCATGTGTCTGTTGGCCACTCGGATGTCTTCCTTTGAGAAGTGTCTGTTCATATCTTTTGCCCATTTTATAATGGGGTTGTTTGTTTTTTTCCTTTCAGCCCATTTGAGTTCCTTGTAGATCCGAGATGTAAAGCCTTTGCCGGACCTGGAGTTGGCAAATACTTTTTCCCAGTCTGCAGGCTATCTCCCTGCGCTCTTGATGGTTTCTTTGATTTTGCAGAAGCTTGTCAGTTTAATGAGGTCCCACTTGTCTATCTTCTCTCTTATGCCCTGT